CTCCAAATTTAGAAAGGTGTAGCGTGCTCATAGGTAACCCTTTGATAAAGGGGAGCACTGCTAAACACTACCACGAGAACAGCCCAAGAAGCGAGGAATCCAACTCCTCAGAAGGGAGAGAATTCAAACTCTCGAAAGAAAGCACCATGCTCACAATAACCCTCAATAGTGAGGGGAGTGATGCTTCCAAAGTGTGTCGACAGAGACACACTAGTTGAGTGGAGCCCAAGGAACCGGGGTCTAAACCAACTCAGAGAAAGGGAACGAGGCTAATAACGCGTAACCCTTACCATACTGGATTTCAGAAAAGTGGGCAAAGCATAACGTGCACACTTACCACTATGTGGATTTTAGAAAGTTTGCAAAGCTTAACGTGTGCACTTACCATAGTATGGAGTTTTCCAAGCATCTGTTCACAGATACCTGGAAGTACTGAGCAAAACGGGAGAGGCAAGCTCAAATACAATCCTCTAAGGCGAGGGGAGCACTGCCTGAGACAGCATACACAATAAGGTTCTCGCAAATGCCACCTATACTTCCCGCTCGATGCCTCAGCAGAGGGGATATCCTGGTGACTAGGAGGCCCCTCAGGGCGACCTAGATACGGTATACCTGACAGGGCAGCCTGAAAGCATAAGCCCAGTCCGGACGTCCAGGAAATTTTGCAGTGCCGTGCCGGGGGCCTGATGATCAAGAAGGCTCCCGCAGAAGCCTGTGACCTGGCCGCATGATCCAGGAAGCATGAAGCCGAAACCAGACTATCATACCGGCTGGACATCATATTGACGAGTGAAATAAACACTGCAAGTAGAGCTCCCGGTTTCTGAATCCAACAGAGGGGGTGCTCACCGAGGACCTACCCTAGAAAAGGACAGAAACACACAGGTCCCGGAAAACACTGCAAAGAAAGCTAGCAGATGGATTATACACACAACCACCAGCGCACTTTCGCCGGCCAACATGTTGTTGGTGTTTTTTCAATGTATGCTTCAGACAAGGGTCACGACGAGGCGTTCCCCATAGCGACCCCTAGAGGACGCAGTTCGAAGTTCCCTTGAAAGGGAACAAGTGACTTGTCTTTATGAGTGAATCATTGAATCATTGACTCATTCATTCAGTAACGAAACTGGAGACTCACAACACTTCTGCAATACAAAGGAATTGGCAATTCTTAATTAATATACAGAAAACCATGGGGTTAATTAATGCTGTTAAAGCTTAATCGATTCACATACTGATACCCTGAAGTTATGTAAAATCAGCCAATCAGATTTGAGCTTGTGATACTGAGAAAGTGCTTTCCAGTTTTGTGTGCGCTGACTCTGTTCAGTTTCTTAATATACGTAATGTAGTGTTTGACTATTATATAACAGTCAAACTTTAAACAATCAAAAATAACATAAAGCAATTATTTATGTTAAAGGCTCACATACGGTATATGTTCAAGCATGCTTACAATTATTATAAGCATAAGCTAACTATGTAATTTTTGAATATGGATGGGATGATCTGTGACTGACCGGTTATTCGGTTCTGTGGCCACGATTACTGGAGATATAGAGCGACCACTGATATTTATATTACTTTATGTCAGTATCTGCTGAACTGTTATAAAGATCTCATTATTATCATTATCAGAATTTCATCTTACTTTACTAAATTGCATATTTTTGCTCAGCTTGAGTCTCTGAATAAAATTGAGCTGTTTTTTCCTCCATGTTCTCACTGTATCAGACTATAAGAGCCATAAATTTTTTACAGGTTTTACAGGGTTGAATCCCTACCCAGACAGCAGACAGTTTCGGCCCAGATCCGGCACACATCCTGCCCGCCTTGATTTCACATGGGCCAGATGTGGGCCGGATCTGGGCCAACACTATGTTGCTGTCTGGGTACTGTATTTGTTCATTTCGACATACGGCATGAATTATGAATCACTGCGAAGACAAACATGACTCCACTCTCAAAGTCCAGAAGCTCTCAGGACCGTCAGGTGTTTAAACACACACACACACTCTGATATTGGCTGCGTTGTATCGGCTTTAAACAGTCTATGTACCTTTGAGAAGGCAAACAATCGCAGTTGTCCAAAAATCCCCACTGTTGGCGAAACACACGCGGCGTCCCTCAATCACATATTTAGAGTTCGGCTTTAAACACTGACAGATGCACAAAAGCATCCATGACAAGACACTCGAACAAACGAGCGCTTTGAGTAGAACGACGGGACGGACAATTAAGAGGAGAGTTACACGACGCGTCTCCCTCCTCACTTTGTATTGTCAGATGGCGATTTCCCCCTCTATCGCTGTGTTCTTCCTCTTGGAGCGCGGACGAGAGTTACACGACGCGTCTCAGACGTCTCGTCCCCCTCCTCACTTTGTATTGTCAGATGGCGATTTCCCCCTCTATCGCTGTGTTCTTCCTCTTGGAGCGCTGCCTGTAATGGAGCTAATCTAGAGCCGTTTGTCCGAGCCACAGGAGTTTTGTCAATAACAATCAGCGTTCAGCAGGAGTAATTAAGGCCGAGGCTTTTCATTAGGCCGGGGGGAGGGGCTCGTCTCCGGGGACGGCCGGCGCAATTAGAAACGCAGGCACGCGTCGCCGGGTAATTTCAGGGAGGGGAAGAAACCAAGGACTTTCTTTAGATTGAAGAGGGACTGGTTTTGTCTCGTGCAGGAGCGGGACGACTAATGGCATAATAAGCAGACGCACGGCTCTGGATGAGCGAGGGAGGATTTTAGGCAGAAAGAGACAAGTGGAAGAGAGAGGACAGGTTGAGATCATGAAGAATAGGGCAGACGATGAGCTTTTGACTGAAGACACAAAAAGAGGCACGAGAGATGAGGATCAGACGGGATTAAGAAAGTAAATAACAGGGCTAGGTGGAGGGTTTCTGAATGTGTTCAGAAAAAATGTATTAATAAATATTGTATAGTATTTTGTTAAAATGGCAATAAAGAACTAAAAAGTATGTCAAACATACTAATACTGAGTTGATGGAACCGTGAGTAATCGCTAATGATCATTTCATGAAATCAGAACCAAATTTCCCTACAATCTTACATCGCTGAACAAGCAAACAGCACGTGAACTGCAGCAATTTTAGTCCATATAGTGATAAAACAATTATGACAAATGTAACAAGTCTAAGCAGAGCAGTAATAAATGTTTAGATATTCCAGTATTGCCTTCAGTCGTTTAATGTCTAACCTTTCATTTCTTTGTTGGAAGCAGGCAAGTGTTTGTCATTTCGTAAATCGCACTCTTTTTCTTTTGTTTGAATAAACACTGAGTCTGTTTACATGCATAACCCAACTTTGCTTAATGAGTCAACAATGCATGTAGTTATGTAAACACATTTCAGCGTGATGTCATAAACAGCTGACAAATATAAACCGATCTAGATTTTTGCCCATTACCCCAATTTTACCTGACATGTAAACAAGCAAATCAATAATAAATGTTTATATATTTCATTATCAAATTCTACATTTGATATTGAAATCCTTCATTTCTTTTTTTAGGGAAAAAAAAAAAAAATACATATATATATATATATATATAATTTGTATTTATTTATTTATTATTATTTTTTTGCTGTATGAGCCAGGTGTGTATTATTTCATAAATGATAGTGCTAGTAAACGTGTTACGGACAAAACTTGGGCAGCTTCTGAAGCTTACAAAAGTGACTTACAAATGTTTGCAAATTAGTATTCATATTACAAATATCGAATTCATGGAATTCTTAGGCTCATGTTATTGTTCATTCATAATTAATTACTGCTCTCATGAAAGTCCAGTTCCAATTCTAGACCAAAAGAGGATTTGTAAATCACGTCTGAAGTGGTAAATACGTCTTGGGCTTTACAGTGTAGAAACTGATGCAGCTGAAGCTGACGGTCGTTGATACTGTTCACATCAGTGTCTATCCAAACATTAAAAATGGATGTGCCCAGCTCACAAAAATATCTTCCAAGAATGCTGTGCTAACATTCCCATTTAATTATGAAAATATCCAGCTTTTTGAATGTTTAAAAAGTTGTTTTTGTTTGTTTGTTTTTTCTTTTCTTCTTGGCTATACAAGCATTAACAAACCATTTTATCATTTTGCAAACTTTACTTTTGCATGTTGTCTAAACCATCAGAAAAACATTCCATGAGCAATGTATAAATAATGTTTTTATGCTGACATTATGAGAACATTATTAAAGACCAGATGTCTTGACAAACGTTCTATTAACATTTCTGGAAGATTGTTTATCCATAACTCTGAGAGAACCTTGCCAGAACGTTCTGAGAACATTCCCTGTTAGCTGGGTGCACACTTTTTTATTTTTATTTTTTTTACATTAACTAACTGCTTGATTTTTACTGTACATTTCTGCCATATGGACATCACCTTGACATAGTCGCCACTGATAAGCTATTAATAAATATAATGTAGAAATTGTAATTTTCTGTAAAGCTGCTTTGCAACGATTTGCATCGTGAAAAGCGGTATACAAATAAACTTGCAAAAATGAAAAAAATTTGCAACAAAATGCAAATTCAATGCAAATGTAGCAAACAGTTCAAATTTACTATCGAAAGCATGTCTAGCTCATATCATATTAAGATTTTATTTGTAAACAAGAGCCAACATTTAGAAATGATGCAATATGGAGGACAAGCGTGCAATCGCTTCAGTCTGCTCAGAACGGATCTACTCAGAAATTACTGGAAGATTGTTTATCCATAATTTTGACAGAACCTTGCCAGAACGTTCTGAGAACATTCCCTGTTAGCTGGGTGCACACTTTAATTTAATTTTTAATTTTTTTATTTTATAGTTTGGTTTCACTAAACATGTTCAATCATCAGAAATCAGTCTTTCACTTTTGCTGTAAACTCATAATCATCTTTATTTTGACTCTCTAAGCTGGTCAGTCTGCTGTTTTCAGTGCTTTTTCCAAACCAGCACAGGCTGATAGCTGCATCAGTCAGAGCCGGTCTAAATGAACGTCATCTCTGATCACATGATGGTTCCTGACCGCCGTGACCAACCCGAACACCTCCGTCAGCCTCTTCCTGAGCCCGCTCTGCTGGCCATTTTCAGCACAGGTGTAAACGTGTATGAAAGCTCCATCTCTTTCTTCTATGCAGTAATCCAGGCTGACAGTAAGCCTGTAAAAATCAGGTTAGATTTTGATGAGGAAGACCTTCCATTTTACTGTAATTTACTTACTTGACCCGAGTCTCTCCCCAAACCATGGCCTGGCACCGGTCCTGAAAAAGCATCAAAGAAATTAAAACAGATAAATGTTGAGAAGAAAAAAAACAACAACTTTATTTGTCTTCTCCAATCCCGAGACTTTTTATTTTAAGAATATAACTTTTATAGGATTTCTGAGTAGATCCGTTCTGAGCAGACTGAAGCGATTGCACGCTTGTCCTCCATATTGCATCATTTCTAAATGTTGGCTCTTGTTTACAAATAAAATCTTAATATGATATGAGCTAGACATGCTTTCGATAGTAAATTTGAACTGTTTGCTACATTTGCATTGAATTTGTGTTTGAAGTTTATTTGTATAGTGCTTTTCACGATGCAAATCGTTGCAAAGCAGCTTTACAGAAAATTAAAATTTCTACATTATATTTAGTAATAGCTTATCAGTGGCTATTGATTTTCCATTTAATGTTTACTCTGCACAAATGTACCATGTGTTATTTTTGGCTGTAGTACCATGGTATTTTCTGCACTTTAATTAAGACATAAATAAGTCATAAATATTAGTATTGTAATTTTACAGTTATACTTTAAAATAAAACTAATATTATTATATTATTATTATTTTTCTAAAATACAATCCAGAGGCATATTATAATATTATTTTTTTAATAATAATAATAATAATAATTTATAGTATATTTTATAGTTTAGTACTATAGTATTTTATTTATTATTATTATTATTATTATATTTATGTTTTTAGTAGTATTTTAAATCATATTGATATAGAATCACAACATTTTATTGCGTTTTAAATCACAATCACAATTTTTTATCACAGCTATATTTTCCCCTAATCATGCAGCCATAAATATTACTATTGTAAATTTAGTTATACTTTAAATTAAAATTAATTTTATTATATTATTATTTTTCTTGAATACAAAATAAATAGATTTTTTTTTACAGTGGAATATTATAATAGTAATTTGTTTAATATTTAATAAAAAGTAATAATTGTATTAATATTTTATAGTCATATAAAAACACAACATTTTTATTGCATTCTAAATCACTGAAATTCGCAGTTAGATTTTTCCCCAAATTGTGCAACCATAAATATTAATTATACTTTAAAATACAATTAATAATATTACTATGTTATTATTTTTCTTAAATATAAAATAAAAAATTTTTTTTTACAATGGAATATTATAATAGTGATTTGTTTAATATTTTAATAATAATAATAATAATATTTATCAATAGTATTTTATTAATATTTTATAGTCATATATAATCACAAAATTTTTATTGCATTTTAAATCACAATCACAATTTTTTTCCCCAAATCGTGCAGCCCTAAACAAGGTATCCAAAAATAGTGATCAGCCTTTTAATGTCTTCTGCTAATTTCAACTGTGGTTGTTCGCCTTGCATATCAGCACAAGGCCTAGTTCTCAATGTAATTTATTCTGGCCTCTTCCTCTCTGCTGCGCTTTGAGGCCAGAATAATCTGCGATATGAACCAGACCTTATGCCGTTAGTCAGAAGTGTGTTTACGTGAGACTAGCGGCATATTTGAGAGAGAATGAGAGCCGTCAGTCTCCTGATGGAGTGCTAATCAGACGGCCGCGAAACGCTAACCAACACTGCAATTCAAGACGTATCCTCCGTAATGATCCCGCAGGGATGCATCCCAGAATAGGAAGTCTCAGCCTTTCCTTCTCCAGAAAATATGATAGGATGAAGGAGGAATGAGGCGCTGCACATTCTAGTTGTGGGAAAACCATGAATCTGTTATCTGGAAACGCACAGGAAATGTGTTTGATTAGCTCTGTTTAGTTGGTCGTGACAACAAATGGGAAAACAGGAAGAGGAGCGATCAGACTTTATCACATTCATTTTCACACCTTTATTTACCCCAAACCCAAAGAGATCTGCTACATTTGCATAGTGATTCGTATAACCCAGATAAAAGGGGGGGGGTGTCTAATTATTTAATACATCTTGGGACCCTCCACTTGATCTGTGCAATAATGTTAACATAATTGCATAAGTTGGGAATGGGGGATGGAAGCGTTTGTGGAAGATTTCAGAGAGCAAAGCAGGAGAACACTGACGGAGAAGCTTCATCTGCAACCGTTACTGACCTGTTCAGAGATAGATTTACAGTATAACTGTACCAAATGCACGCACTAATCCAGTGTAAAATGTAAATGACTAAATATGTAATTAACTAAGAAAGCTTTAAAAAAAGGTTTACAGTATTGGTAAGCTTCTTGAAAACTGTATCTGTCAAAAAACGTAGTTCAACCGCAGACAGGCTGTTCTTTTGAAGAAGTCGTTCAACACTAAATGTTACTGGACATTGAAGCTACTTAATATAAAATGTGTAAATGATATCAAATGTAATTTGTATTGGGGCTTAAAAGACAATTAACATTCAAAAATACTATCGACCAGTGTTGGGGAAAGTTACTTTTAAAAGTAATGCATTACAATATTGCCTTACGCCATAAAAAGTAACTAAATGTGTTACTTTTTATGGAAAGTAGCGCATTATGTTGCTTTAGCCTTACTTTTTGTCACCTGGGCTGGGCTTGCTTGTTTCTATTTAAATAACACAAAACACACAAGTTCTATTTTTGGCAAATTAAAGGCCCTTTCACACCAAAAGTGAAATTAATAAGCCTCAGGCTAAAGGAAGTGCCTCTGCACTTATTACCGATTTCTCACAACACGGGGACAAGAGAGATGTCTGTGAATAAATGGGAAAAAACTAAGTAACTTGCGTCAAAAAATAACTCAGTTTCGTTGCAAATTTAAAAGTATCGTGTTACTTTACTAGATACTTAAAAAGTAATCTGATTACGTTCTGCGTTACTTGTAATGCGTTACCCTCAACACTGCTATCGACTTGATAATAACACTTGACACTGTTATTGATCTGAACTGAATCAACATTGACATCATTGAATGATGACACTATTGTCTTCTGTTAAGTTGCTTTACAGCTGAAATTCAATTTGTTAAATAATTGATTAATTTTGCAACATTAACACTGTTATTATTACTGTGAAGCTGCTTTGTAAACAATCCGTATTGCGCTTTAGAAATATAGTTATTGTGACTTGACTTGAGTAGTAGTCTATCATTTTTCGTTTTGTCATCGGCCGATATGTTTTCTGTTTGGCCAATAAGTATCGGAAAAGGGACTTTTATTCTGCCAGTGCTGAGCGCAGATGCACAAGAGCTCCCAGCAGTTTCTGAATTTGTGAAAAATACTATAATAGCATTAAAAGTTGCTATCTGAAGTATAAATCTGTATATTTCACAGGTTTCTTATTTCATGACGTTCAAATAATTTTATATTGATTAATTTTCAAATGATTTAGTCATAATTTGGTAAATAGTATGTCAAATAAATATATTTAATTGCAGCATGTGCTATTTCTTTAAAGCAAATAGTGTGAGATATATATATATATATATATACTGTATATCAGGGCTGTAATTAGCACAAGATCAGTGAGACATTTTGAGTGAACTATTTATGTAGGGTTACAATGAACAGACATATTTACACTAAATACACCCTAGTTGAAAACAGATATTTTGTTATGAATAAGAAGACCTAAAATGCATTATTGGGACTCAAATCTGTGCATGTTTCCTTGAGTTGGTTGCCAGAACCAGCCCATTGCACTAAAACAACACTATTTACCAACTATATAAAAGTTGCACACTCATCGACACAGAGATATCGCTCTAGAGATGTTTTCTGGTGAATCCCGTCGTCGTCCTGTAGCGAGTGTTGTTTTCCTCAGCCGTACAGTATATGTCAGAGAGCATGTTTTTATTCAGCACAACGTCTTCAGTGATCAAGACAAGGCTGAATATATTGAGCGAGCGCCGTCCACATAGACATTCAAACCACACGCTTGCACGAGAACAAGAGCGCTGTCTGCCGACTGTCATTCTGCATTTATCCGTCGCTCCTGCCATTACCCATACATGTCCTAATTGAAATGCCTCGCCGCAGTTAAATGTACACGGACACACGCAGAATGGCAGAGTGTATCAAGCACTTTGCCTATTGTTACTCGCACAATTCCACTCAAATGGCTCTTTTATTGTGTAGGTATCAAGCGCTGAAGCGCTCAGCTTGAATAATGTATCAGTAGCTGGTTATTCTCTATGTAAATAGCGAGCGAGCAGCAGAACCGGCCTCAGTTTGGGTCGGGTATTATGTAAAGCGGGCCGAGCAGCGTGCACAAATGCGCACTGAATTTGTGAATGTAATTTCGCGAGGTGCGATTTGAATGGAAGCACTGAAAGCGCAGGGATCTTTTGTTTTGAATCCTGTCTCATCTGTTTTGTTGGCTCATGTTTCTTCATCTTTCCAGCACACGCTGTCCCTGTTCTGTAGTGTCTCACGGCCACAGGCAATTTATCAAATTGAGTAAAAGATGATTTTATAAATAAAGTGATTTATAGAGTGTTCTTTTGATCGCTTTGTTGGATGCAGTGGCGCGCTGTAAAACTCTTCTGCGTTAGCTTGTTTTCGAGCAGACAGGAGCGATGTCCTGCGAGTGGAAAGCGCCTCACTTTTTCTTGTCTCTTTGTCTCTCACCAGGTAGCATCGAGTACAGCTGTCCAGCCACCAATGAGTGCGAGATCACGAAAAGAAGACGCAAGTCCTGTCAGGCGTGCCGCTTCATGAAGTGCTTGAAAGTGGGCATGCTGAAGGAAGGTGAGGAGCTCAAAGACTGACCGACTGACAGTGTTGGGGAAACTTACTTTTAAAAGTAATGCATTACATACAAGCGTTACTCCCTAAAAAAAGTAACTAATTGCGTTACTTTTTATGGAAAGTAATGCATTACGTTACTTTTGCGTTACTTTTTCTCATCTGGGCTGGGCTTGTTTGTTTGTTTTTAATATAAAACAGTTCTATTTTTGGCAAATGTAAAAGCCGAAAATATAAAAGTTTATCTAAAGTAATTTTTGCTTATTCGTATGGTTGAATTGGATCATTGAAGGTCAGCAGTAAAGACACTGGTTAACAAAATGTGACCATGGACCACAAAAGCAGTCTTAAGTCGCTGGGGTATATTTGTAGCAATAGCCAACAATACATTGTATGGGTCAAAATTAATGATTTTTCTTTTATGCCAAAAATCATTAGGATATTAAGTAAAGATCATGTTCCATGAAGATATTTTGTAAATTTCCTACCGTGAATATATCAAAACTTAATTTTTGATTAGTAATATGCATTGCTAAGAACTTCATTTGGACAACTTTAAAGGCGATTTTCTCAAATGTAATTTTTTTGCACCCTCAGATTCCAGATTTTCAAATAGTTGTATCTCGGCCAAATATTGTCCTATCCTAACAAACCATACATCAATGGAAAGCTTATTTGTTCAGCTTTCAGATGATGTATAAATCTCAATTTCGAAAAATTGACCCTAATGACTGGTTTTGTGGTCCAGGGTCACAAATGCGATTGAATACTTATAGGATCTTTGTGGTATTTAACATTTAATGATCACAGGTTTGCTTCTTATTCTAAGTTTGCATTTCACTGCTTTTATTCATTTTGAGGAATACTGAATGTGTTTTTGTGTAAGTGAGATGAGTAAATGCATGTTCTCATTTAGTCTAGAATTACAGTATCATCATGTTCACACAGCGCACACAACGCCTCTGCACTCACTCCTGATTCCTCTCAACATGGGGACGGTAGAGCTGTCACTCAATACATGGTAAACAAAGTGACTGGAGTTACTTATTTGAAAAAAGTGACTCAGATATTTTATTGTAAATTAAAAAGTAATGCATTACTTTACTAGTTACTTGAAAAAAAGTAATCTGATTACGTAACTCGCGTTACTTGTAATGCGCTACCCCCAACACTGCTGACTGACGTGTTATGCTTAGGATGCTTTTAAATGCAGTCAGAATGCTAGTTCTAAATGCTAGTTTGCACAGGAAGAGAAGAGAACACTTGTTTGTGAAAGAAGCGAACAGCTCACTTATATTCAGATCCTTTTTATCAACTTTTGCTCCAGCGTTGTTATTGTTAACTAAAACTAAAACCTTAAACATAAAACGTGAAATAAAATAAACTTTGACTGAAATAAAATATATATAAAAAAATAATAATAAAACTTATTTTATTTCAGCTAGTTGCCAAGGCAACATTTTAATTTAGTTTAACATGATGTACTAAAATAACTAAAACTATAATGAAAAAAATAATTAATTTAAATGTATTCTGCTTCAATGAAAGTGTTATTCAGCAGCCTGTGTTCTGTCATGGATCTCCACTGCATTGTTTGCTGATTGTAACGTTACTTACGCAACCTCTGTGCAGCAATAAGTATTTTTGCCGTTGTTTTAAAAGATAAACATTAATGCAATTTGGAATTATTGGAATTACTATTAGGAATTTCTCTGTTATAATATTTGAGAGTAGGTTTTTGTTACAGCAGTTTTCATAACGTAGACAGTGCGAGTGTATATCTGAAGTCTTTGGTGTTTATTTAGCCTCTAATTGATATCCAGTTATAAATCTGTACACTAGATGAGGTGAAATAAGCCATGCATACGAGTCGATATTCTATTGATTTCTGCTTACTGGTGAAATAGCAACTTCTGATGAAATGTAAAAATAAATTTCCCAAATGACAACGATCATTGCAATTAAAATTGAGCAAAACAATATTTTTTTTTCATCATTTTAACCATTATACAGTAAGCCGAAAATATGCCGAAAATGTGTAAGTTTCCTCTGACTAAAACTAGACTAAAATTCTCAGACATTTAGTCGACTAAAACTTAACTAAAACTAAAACAGGACAAGTTGACTAAATATGATGAAAACTAAAAGTTACATTTGACACAGGATTAAGACTAAATTAACAAAATTAACACTAGAGGCAGCAACATATGATAAGACAACAAGAAAGGCAATTAATAATGTTTCATTGTGCAAAAGTATTATAATATGAAAGGCTCCAGTACAGAGCGACTCAAAGCGCTTATGCACATCCCGTGCGCAGAATGATGCGCTTGAAGCAACACGGAGTCACTCTACATAGAAAAGCTCAAAGCACAAAGAGAAGAGATATTGATGCGTAGTGTATCTTATGTTGTTGATGTCAAAGATCGTATGTCAGAAATTCATCTTTCGTCATCAAATCATACAGATGAAGATAGACAGGTTGTCTGACACCCTCATCCTCAAAAACTATCAACAAGTGTTATTTTAGTGTTATTTTATTATTTATATACAGAACTTTACAGTGTTTTTTGATTATTTAAATTAGCTTTTACTTTTATATTTTCAGTTTTCATTTTAGTTTTAGTAATTTTGTTGTGCTTTTATTAGTATATATATGTATATTATTAGTATATGCATGTACCTGCTGTTCATTATAAATCGCGTTTCGCTCATTTTCAAACATGTCAGCATTTAATGTTGAGCTTGTGTATTGCTCTCCTTCACGTACATGTGTGAAGTATGTTTCGCCGTTCACCTCAGCAGGTCTTTCATTAGGTCACATTTTACTTTGTAATGTCATTTGTTGGCCTTTAAATCAGTCACGCGGTGTAAACCGCGGCGGCTCCATCAAACACACGTCAGCGATCAGAGTTGAGCGGAGAGCCAGATGAAGCCAAGCGCTTTCCAGAGACAAACAAGCCATTAGGGCTGTCAAAAAATAATTAGAATTTCGAATATTCGTTGAATTTAAAATAAAAATCCACATTCGAATGCAAAAATGTTGCATTCGAATTTTAGGTGTGCGTTAAGGAGGCAGCCTTATCAGTGGCGCACGAGATGCGATGACGATGTAAGTGTTGCGTTATAATGTTTTTGTTAGTCTATCCAGTTGAAGCCACTAGATGCGGCGCTGCTGCGTTGTTTATTAAAAATATTACGGGAAAAGAGAACATCAATGCGGTGAAGATCTTGTTTACGTCAAAACTGAAACCAAGCCGTTCACACAGAACACATATTTCACGCATTTTCTAGAGGGACATCTATCACCGCTGCACTCGCGTCTCGCACAAAAGAGCCGCATGTTTAGAAAGCCATGCAAAATTAATACAAAGTTTAACTTTGAAAAAACATATCTCGAGACTTATGGCGGGGTTTTTCCCATCCCACTGCAACTCGTGTTTTTAAATGAAAAATGTAATCTGTGTGATTGGCTTTCGGCCCTTTGTATTAAACTATGAATACATACATGATGCTGTTTTGTTTATAGTTGTTTAAGCAACTTAATTAATTATAATAAGCATTATTTTAAACATTATGCACTTTTTTT